CGGACACACTCATTCCCCCGCTGCACGTGCACGCGCGCTCACGGACACACTCATTCCCCCGCTGCACGTGCATGCGCGCTCACACACACACTCATTCACGTGCCTGAAAAGGAAAAGTTCTCTATAATCTGGAAAGCATGTCGCCCTGTGATATGGACCGAATTGTTTCCTCCAAAAAGGTATGTTGAAGTCCTAACCCCGGTACCCGCGAACATGACCGTGTTTGGAAAAAGGGTCTTTGAGGACGTTATCAGTTAATACGAATTCATACTGGAGTACGGTCGGTCTTCATCCAATCCGAGTGATGTCCTCATAAGAGCAAAGGGCCCAGGGACACACAGACGAAGGACGGCCATATGAACGTGACCGTGTTTGGAAACAGGGTCTTTGAGGACGTTATCAGTTAATACGAATTCATACTGGAGTACAGTGGGTCTTCATCCAATCCGAGTGATGTCCTCTTAAGAGAAAATAGCCCAGAGAGACAGACAGACAAAGGACGGCCATATGAAGATGTACCCACAAGCCAAGGACGCCGGGCTACCAGAAGCTGGGAGAGACAAGAAACCGACCGACCGACATGCTGATTTGGACTTCTAGCCTCCAGGACAGTGAGACAATAAATTTCTGTTCTTGTAAGTCACCTAGTTTGTGGGGTTTTGTTATGGCAGCCCCAGGAAACTAAAAGAACAAAACAGTTGCTGTCTATTCAATTCTGACTCATGGGAACCCCATGTGTGTCAGAGTAGAACCGTGCTCCCATAAGATTTTTAACAGCTGATTTTTTGGAAGTAGATTGCCAGGCCATTCTTCCGATGTGCCTCTTGGAGGACTCAAAACCTCCAACCTTTTGCTTAGCAGCCGAACACATTAACTGTGTGCATCCCTCAGGGACTCGAGGAAACTAATACAGCCTATCATTTATGTTTCTTGTTCAAAAGCCAGTAACTAAATTCTAAACTCTATTCTTAAGGCCTATTTTACTGGGTATTCTCTAACTGTGTAAATATGTACTCTACAGTCCCACTTTGCGGTCAGTGAAAAGATAACACACTTTATTTAAGCAATGACAGTGAAGTCACATCTCTTCCTCTTTAAACTTGCAGCACCTGAGTGGTACACTCCTACATTCGTTGAGTGTTTGAGTTTACTAAGCGATTTTACGTATGTTATTTCAAGGGTGACAGCACCGTATGTATCTGACAGATGAGGAAACTCTGGCCGAGAGCAGTTAATGACTTGCACGTGGCAAAACAGCTAACAAGTGGCAGCAGTAGGATGTAAATGTCCTAGACCTCAAACCTGGCACTGCATCCATGACATAATTCACAGAGAACTGAAGGAAATGGGTTGTGATATCTTGGCAAGTCTTAAAGGTGTTTCTGGAATAGCCAAAGGGATAAGGAACCCAGAAGCACTTTGCGAAGTTCTAATCAGGAGTCCTTAGTCGGGAGGAGAATCACAGCTGTGATGGCAGTCATAGTAGCAGTGTTGGTATCTGCTGTCAGAAATTACTAATACTCTCCCAAGTATTTTCTTCTAGGTAATTAATAGACACACGGACCAGAAGACAAAGTCACCTTGGAAGAGACGATCCTGTTATCCGGGTACCTCTGCGGGATGTAGGCCTCGGTGCCTGGAGGTGGCTCCCTGTGCCCCACGTAGATGGTCCGACTGTCCACCCAATTCTCTTCTCCAGCACACTGTGGAAAAAAGAAAAATATTACCTTAGACACCTCATAATTCGGGTGAAAAAGTACTTACCTAAAATGTTGTCTTTGATTAATTGCTTGTTCATATTAACAGAAACCTACACTGGCTGGCTCAGAGCATCATTCTGGGTTACAGGGGAAGAGCTATATTCTTCAAATTTAGTGGCCAATTTTCACAATCTAAATTCTTCAAATCAGTGGCCAAATCCCTCAAGCAAATAATCTGAGCAGGCTGTCTGAACTCCCCGTAAGTGGTACATGGGTATCCTTTAAAAGCTGATCGTCAACAGAACTAAGACAGGGTGAGTTCATTTAAAAATAGAGCGTAACAGCAAAATCTTAAGGCTTCTAAAAGAGAAAAGGCAATGATGATTAGAAGTTTTGGAAAAGAAGACGGTGAAACTATTAGTTCAAAATATAAGAATTATTTGAACTCGTAAGGCTTTCATGGATAGAGGGGAAGACTTGGGTCTGATTCATTTTTGTATTATTGTGAGTATTGTGAACCAAAGGTATTAAATACATATCTTGTGAATAGAAAAATCTTTTAAAAACACACAACCAGACAGTGTGCTACCAGCTCTGAGATGACTAAATAGCTACTGATCTGAGACTAAAACGCAGGCGCAGAATAAAAGTCCTATTGTGTGGTCTTGGTACCACATTCCAATTCTCCTCAAAGAACTTCCAGCTTTTCTGAGGTATAATAAACAGTGCTGAAAAGGAGACTGAAATATTCCTAGTTGAAAAGAAAGACCATGTTATGTAACAGGAAAAACAAATTGGCACTGGAGTCAAAGAGACTCGGGTTCAATCAACGCTGAGCCACTTACTGGCTGGGTAACCGCAGGCAAGTTGGTATTTCTGAACCTTAACATCATTATCTATAAAACAGCGATGGTAGCACTTCTTACTCACAAAGTTGTCAAGAGAATGAAATCAGAAAATAGAAATGAAACACAGAGCAAAGTGCCCAGTCCAACAAGTTTTTAATACAATATTAGGTTTCCTTCTTTCTTCCATTACTGTGGCCCATTCCTTTTGTTGCTTCAGGAAATCCTACCTACTTAAAGTCCAACAGGCTGGGGTAACATAAGCAATCCAGCATTTCTATTTGCTCAGTGTTGTTATTTGTAAGTCTTAAACACTGGTTCTGGGTGTGTGCGTGTGCTCATTTCTCAACTTCCTGGGTAAGATGTCTTTTTCATATTTGTATTACCCCACAGCACGTTATGCAGAGTAGCTACATAAATGTTTGCACATTTCCTTTTATAAATTCCACCTGTGCGTCTACATGCACCTCTGTTTGCTTTCATTAAGGCCTCGCTTTGCCATAAGAGTCTGTGTAAACTAAAGGAAAAAGACCAAATGAGTCTCTGGAACTCCAACTGTCTTTTCAGAGATGTTCAGCAGACATGAAATGGTGCTCGTTACAGACAGCCGAGGCTTCAAATTTCTTTGAGAACAGAAATAGACATGGCAGCTACCTGGTCAGATATGAGTGGCTCAGCAACATAAGTGAGCTACGTGCATTTTTTTTCCTTGGCAAAAACGTGTGATACAGTTCGGGCAGAGCAGCCTGCAGGTTCTACGGTAATTATCACCCTAGATCTGCAGTAAGCAGATTCAAAAACAAGCCAGACAGTACCAGCTCTCCTGGTGATGCTGAAGGCCAGGTTGCCTCACTTCTGGCAAAGCACAAAGAAAGCTCTGACTTCATCTGAAGCGATAATCTCCCTGTCCAACAGCAGTCTTTCCTCTCCTCCCTGTTTGATATGAGGCCATCAATAAGGAATACAAACTATAAAAATATATATGAAAGCTAAGAAAACAGAAAAAGTCTTTGATTTTCTTTTCTTTTCTTAGAACATAGCCAAGCTGATGCTTCTGAGTCTTCAGAAAGTCATACTGAAAAAGAAGAATGTATTTTAAACAACTGGAAAAAGAAAGAAAAGTAAAAAAAAAAAGATGACTTTCAATACAAAAACGGAAGTCCTGAAAACCTTGCTCCCAAGCTTCACAAATAGCCGTTGAATCTCAAGAGTGGCCACAACCCTGACTGTCTGAAAGCCCGAAAACCTCCTAAGCATCACACCTGGTGCTCACTCTATGGATAGCGCCCCTGATGCTTCCCTGTCACCTCCTGCCAGGGGACAAGGATGACCTCTGCTCTATGGCGGCATAATCAGAATGAAATTTATTCAGGCCAACTCAGAGTCTTGACACTGTCTAACAGATGTTTGTTATTAAATAATTACATTAAAAAACTCAAATATAAAAACTTACTTTAAATAACTGTCACTGAACAGAAAGAACTACTATTCCTGTCTGTGTGACAAGATCAGCAAATCAACTGCCCATCAACACGCGTTAGGGCTTCCCTAAATCATCAAAACAAAAAATTAATCTGAGCACAAACTGTATGCATATTAAATGAAAGCTAAATTCTGTACAAGAAAGCCACCTTCGTATTGTTCACTGAAGTATGAAAATAGATGCACATAACCCAGAAGTTTCCTTAAGGCTCCCTGCTTCCATTAACAGGGTAAAACTGAATGGACTGAGAAACTGAGTGTCCCTGGAACACCAGTGAGGTCACATGACCACCTTTCTACTCTGGCTCTTTAGCTTGGTCAGGTTAACAGAACCCAAAGAAGATGAAGAAAAAATTATACTCTCTGAGATCAGAAAATTTACCAAGGGTAAGGAAACATTTCTTTGGGTTCAGATTTAAAGTCACGGTGATTTAAAATCAATCTTATTCTCTTCACAATCGTTCAAATTCTAAGCAGACTAAAATTAGATGTTGAAAAAGTCTCCTGGAGACTGCCTGGTGTAATTCTGATGTTTGTAATTACATCAATACAGAGTTATAGGTTATGTGTCACTGGGTAAGTTCGAACTACCAGCTTTTTGCTTAGCAGCCTCCGTGGGAGAAAGACCTGGTGATCTGCTCCCATAAAGATCACAACCTAGAAAACTCTATGGGACAGTTCTACTCCATCCTTTATGGTGGCTATGAGTCAGAACATGTTATGTGCTGGGATTCAGGAAACCTGGTTCTGCCGCTGAGGTGCTGAGGAACTTTGGACAAATCACTAAACATTTCTAGGTCAAATCTCATCAGCAAATGACAGGATTAGACTAGGTAAACTTTATAATTATTCCAGCTCTCAGATTCTCATTCTTTGTACACTAGCAATGAACACAAACGTATTGGCCCTAATTACTTTATGTAATTTCTTAATGGAACCAGTCTGGAACCAAATGTCAGACAAACTGTTCAGTGTCAAACTGGAACCTTTACAGTGTGAGCTCTGTCTTGTTTTTCTGTCTTCTTTCTGGGCCAGCATCAGTGCTCTCAATGGTGAGGAATCATGAAAGAGCAAAACTGCTGGAGGAATTCCAAGTCTGGAGGAGAAAGGC